ATATATATATATATTATTCTTTTCTTTATAATTTCAATCTATCTCTCTTTATTCAGCTGCTTCAACATTAATAATAATAATAATATAGGCTAAATTTCGGGCTCGGGCTTCGGGCTTTTTATGAGGGCCGAGCTCGGGCCCAAATTGTAGGCCTAATGGTCAGGCCGGGCTTGGGCTCGGGCTTTAAAAAAATTTGTTAATACACAGTAAAAGCCCGGCCCGGCCCGGCCCATGAACAGGTCTAGTGGGGAGTATATGAAGAGTGGGAATTTGTTGGGCCCTAAGGGGCCATGGCTCCTTGAGATTCCCTTGTCTCCGCCCTAAGGTTGGGATTAAACCTATTCATAGGCCACGCTAGGCTTTGCCTTTATATCAACAGAACATATTCATGCCCAAGCCTGAGCAATATTGGACCATCGGGCCTAGATCTTGAGCCTAATCTCGACCCCCATATAAAACCCAAAGCCTAGCCAGGAAATTGAGAAAAAAAGATTTGTATTCTTTATTTAACAACAAAATTGATTTATTTATATTAAATTGACTTCAAAATTGAAAATTTTATTTATTTATTATTTTATTTTATTAAATTAAATTAAATTAAATATATTATTATTTATAAATTTCTACTTATTTTAAGTAAATCTTTTTCCTAAAAACTATTAATTAAAACATTTACCTTTTACAAAATCATATTTTCCTATACAATAATTTAACTTTTGCAAGAGTGCTAAAGAGAGCTGAACGTGGCTTTTGACTCCGAATGGTAAAATGTACTTAGTTTACTTGTTTTTCGTGCTTCTTAATGCAATTGAACTGGTTGAATATCGATGGAAATGTTGTAGCATCTAAAATTAACTATATCCCTTAAATTGGAAGAGACAACATTAAGGCTCCGTTTGGTTTGAGGGAAAGTTTGGGTGGGATGGGAAAGGGTGGGATGGGATGAGAAAGTATGAAAATTTTACTTTCCACCATTTGGTTGTATAAGGAAAAATAGTGGAAAAATTCATTTTCTCATGTTTGTTTTTTGAAAAATTCATTTTCCCATGTTTCTTTCCCTCTCATAATATGAATTAATGAAGTGAATTAAGGGCCAAACAGCCAAACTAGTTGTTGTAATCATATATATATATATTTAGAATCATATTTTAACGATGTTGCTAATAACCATCACATTTGATTAAGACCAATGATGGGCCCACGTCATTTGAATTTCATATGGCAAGTTATGGCCCCATGCAACAAGCTATTTAGTCTGCAAGTGTCTATTGATTGATATTTTTCTTTTAATTATTTTGCAGGTATTTAGGAGCCCTATGGCACCTTTTGCCTTGTTTATGATCCTTTTCTTTTCTAGTCATATTACAACATTAACTTGGAATCTTGGTGGGCAAGTAGTCTTGCATTATTTATTCACAGTGGACCTACCTGTTTGGCTTCACCGTGCAACAATTAGGACTTTTGCCATTGTTCCAGCCCTTTACTGTGCAATGAATTCTGGTGCCGAGGGAATGTATCAATTGCTTATTTTTGCTCAAGTACTGCTAGCCATGCTACTTCCATGTTCTGTGATTCCCCTTTTTCAGGTGGCCTCATCAAGTTCAATAATGGGTGCTCTCAGAATCTCTCAATTTGTGGAGTTTTTAGCTTTGATGACATTTTTTGGTATGCTTGATTTAGAAATTGTCTTTGTTGTGGAAGTGGTATTTGGAAACAGTGACTGGGTGGGTAGTTTGAGATGGAAATGGGAAGTAATATTGCATTCTCATATGTTGTTGTTCTCGCCATTGCCTCTGTGTCACTTTGTATGATGCTTTGGCTAGCAACAACACCATTAAAGTCTGCACGTGTCAACCCAGATGCACAAATGTGGAAGTGGGATCTACATTATTCTCGACCTGAGTTATCCATGGAGGGAGAGGAAATGGGTTTAGTTAAGACTACTTACCATGGAGAGGAGACTGCAGCTGAAGAGCCAGCATTTGAGAAATCTTTGGAGAGTCGATCAGATGGTTCAGCTATGGAACTTGATGTTGATTTGCCTGAAATGATTATGGATTCTGATCAGGAACCTCATGCTACTCCCATTGAGGAGAAATGTACTACTGCAGTTCTTAACCAGTCAATGAGCCGGTCCCATTGAGGAGAAATGATTATGTACTACTGTAGTTCTTAATTCAGAAAAGATGGCATTTTTTAAGAGATACAACTACTAGCACCCAATGAGCCGGTCCCATCCTCAACCAGTCATCATTGTAGATAAATCTTAGTTAGATGTTTAGATAGCTTTAGAGTCACCTTCGACCTCCAGTTGCCTTAAATTAAGATGTTTAGCTAGCTTTAGACCAGAATAGCAGAAATTTCAGCTGTAAGGGAGTCTTCTAACCTATTGGGGTTGCATAGAGAACTACAGAGAGAGAACTGCAATCTTAATTAGATACTCAGATTCTATGTACCTGTGACAAGAATTAAAAACAGGGGTTATATTCTGACCAAAAATTAAAAACATATACACAGATAAATCTACCCAATCGGCTACTAGATAAATATACCCAATCATCTTCTTTGATCACGTGGACCAAAGCTTCAAATAGCATCACTTCTTATCCCGGATAAATCTACCCATTTGGTTCCCTCTTCTGACCCCAGATAAATCTACAGTAAAACAAGGAATTAAGTCAACACTTTAGAAGAACCAATCGGTTCCCTCTTCTTCTTCTTCTTCTTCTTCTTCTTTGGTAATAGCTCCATCGTCTTCTTTGATCTTGGTAGAAAAGGGTTCTAAAATCGAACCAAAAGAATAGGTAGTCTTGTTGGAAGTCATAGTGGAAAAAAATGCACACCACTGTAAATCGATCAAACCAGCAGTTATCTGATGATCAAATAACCAAAAAAAAAAAAATCTCTGAGAAAACCCCTGCACCTAACAAATAGCATCACTTCAGAATAACAAAGAAACAAAAAAAAAATCCTTTGTCACAGCACTGTAACGTGAATCTCAGAGAAAACCCCTGTACCTAACAAATAGCATGACTTCAGAATAACAAAAAAAAAAAAAACACTCCATCACAACGCTGTAGCGTGAATCTCAGAGAAAACCCCTATACCTAACAACTCTCATTTTACCCTTGTGCATGTCCTAACAAATCTCATAAAATGAGAAGGCTAGAACAGAGATTGGCGCAAGTAGTGAAGAAGATGAAATGGAGCTTCTCCTTTGCTCGCTAAAACAGACTGTCCTACCAAATCTCGTCTACACAAGGAGAATGGAGCTTCTCCTTGCTGAAAATAGTGAAGAAGATGAAATGGGTCAGTCATTGCAGAGACTGGCACAACAATGGTTAAAACATTCTTATCTACCAAGATATACAAGAAAATAGAGGAAATGTCTTGCCAAAGCAAGAGGAGTGTAGATCTGGTCTTCCTTTGCTTGAAATCACCAAAGAAGTCACCGGAGATATGACCATTGGGATGCTTGGTTGAAGGAAGAAGGAGACTCACGAGTTCAGGCCTGACAAAGCCCGATAACTTTTCTCAGGCACGTCTCACGTTTTTCCTTTCTCATTGGGTCACACCATTTTGGTAGAATCCCATTTACCTATTTTTGGGATCTTGTTTCTCACTTTTTTCTCATCCTATACAAATGTATCCCGGAGCCTAACAAAACATGAAAGTGAAGTTCATCATTCACCAATTTGCGCACCCTGATCAACGTCATCGTTAGCTCTCCGAATGCAAATATTGATGAATTTTGGGCTTTTGGTAAAAACCATGACACTGGCTCGCGTCAAGATATACAAGGGGGGTTAAATTAGGGAAAAAAGCATTGAAAGAAGAAGCAATAATTGTATCCGGCCGCCTGAGAGCTGAGAGGCAACAAAAACACGCAATATTTACTTATCTGCTTTATCAGAGTCGTCATGTCATGTCGTTGGCCCTTGACTTTGAGCCACAACTACAACTCTACAAGTCAGTTTCGTTTATGCCAATTAATTAACTCTATTGGCTGAAAATCCTATATGTATGAAGTAGTAACAACCTGATTGGCTTATATAATTCTTGATGAATAAATGAAGAAGGATGGAATTTCATGAATCGTCATCTTTCTTGGATTAATTGAATCCCTCACAATGTATCTCATCTCTATAATTGCTGCACAGGAGGTGATCGCCTACAGATTACAGACATGCACATGAATGGGCTCTACCCTCTACTCTACGCACTTTAATTTCATCAGGCTCCTGCAGGTTGGGGTCGATCCTAAACATCCCTTACGTACTTTCGGCAAAAGCTCTCTCTCTCTCCCTCCTTTTGATGATCACTGATGTGTTTGCAACTTTTACACATCTGTTTTATTAAAATGAGGATGGGATCCAACTCTACCCATAAAAATATAAAATAATAGTACTGACTTACTCCTACAGATACAGATCTGTACTTGTAATTAATTTCTTTTCCTCTTAAACCTGGCAAGTGGCAACTGCTAGTCTGGCATATCTCTAGAAACCACATATATATATATATATATATATACTTGATGATAATTCTGTATTACCTTTCAACTAATTCCATAAGTTGGAATAAGATGTGGTGGGTTTTCTCTTCTCCAAAGTCTGCTCTACTTTACATGTTCTTCACCAACTTCAATTCAGGCCTGATCGACCTTGCAGGATTAAGATGACATGCGCTAGCTGCCACTGGTTGTCAAAATTCCTTTTCTATATTAAATCCCTTGAATCTTCCAAACTCGACATGTGTATGCATTCCAATGAGTGTATTGTTATTCTTGATGAGGCCCATTCGTGTATTAATCTAATCTCGAACCATCACGTCTCGGGTCAAACCCGATAGTTGTCTCCCAAGTCCCAATTGAATTACAACTTCCTTGATGAGTGTGGCACCTCCTCTATAAATAGGTAAAACACTTATAAAAAAAGCTATGCTCACTACAACACTCTCTCAGCTTCTACCTCGTCCTTTTGCTTTCCTTGTTGATTTGGCCTGATGCCTCTTCGTTCATTTACTAACTTGAGTATCGAAGAATTCTCCCTAGAGCTGAGCTAGAGCTAGAGACACAACTCGGGGCTCCCTGCCTTTCTCGTATCTCAATTCATCTATCCTCTCTCTATGGCAGCTTCCTTTCCTATCTCATCATCTGTTGCATGATTTTGGATTACAACACTGACACCGTCTATAGAAACCAAACAAAAAAATCCTAACAACCAATGCATTCCAAGACTCACACCATGCAACAAGGATTCACAAAACCTATCACACTCATAACATGTCTCCACAGTTTGTAAAACCAACCACAACTTAAAACCCACAATAAGAGAACCGTCCCGTCATGTAGGAACTATTCTAGAACCTCTAGCTTTAGGCCAAAGGCTTCTTTGCCCTATTAACTTGTGGTGGTAGAGCGCTCCAATAGCAAGGTTGGAACCTAGAGCCCATGACTAATAGAACAGTCACCTTAGCGGTCGAGGCGCCCCAAAAAAACCAGCATCTTCGGTCTTCAAGGGAAGCGACCAAGCCCATCGTCCAGATGCCCAAAACAAGCAACAACACCAGTAGCCACAAGGCGATGCTCAGGGCCCATTCAATTGGAGACCAACCAATAAGAACCCCCTTGTGATGACCTTCAAGACCAAGACCAACTTGGTGGTGGCAGACGAGCATAGCCACTTCCAAAATTGGGTTGGAAATCAAACCTCGACTAGGAGGAGCTCAAGAACATGTAAGCTCAGCTTTCAATTTCAACGACTGAGGAAAGAAGTTAGTTGTAACTCAACCTCGAACAACAGTTATTGAAGGTCCCTCCTTTTATTGCACACACTTGAGATGAGCCCTCCTCTCCATCCTGTCCAATTTCAAGATGATACTGCATACGGTGGTACAGGAGACCCCATGGATCATTTGGAAAATTTTAGGGCCCTCATGCTCCTCCACGGCTACAATGAGTTGATCTCATCACCTGTATGTTCTTTCAAGTGACATTCATAGACACACCTCAACAATGGTTTTATGAATTACTGCCTAAGTCAATTGTGTTGTAGGACTAGTTTGCCAATATATTCATGAACCAGTACTTCAGCAGTAATAAGAAGTTTACACGGACCTCAGCGTTGTTGATGCATGGCAGTTTGGTACAAGTGGGATGACCTCAATCATATCGAACTCCAAAGGTCCTAGGTGATAACCACCACACCCCCTAAAAGTCCAATCGCAGCAAACCCTTCCTCAGGTGGTTAGACAAACTCAAATCCAATTGGGGAGATAAAAACAACTACTTTAGGTTCCACTGATGTCATGGGCATGACAGTAAGGATTGTTGAGATTTCAAGAACGAGATTGAATGAACCGGTTTTGGAGTGGACCCCGTTCAGTCCAAAATTAATTTGGACTGACCAATAAGATATATTGGATTGGACCAATCTGATCCATAATATGTATTAGATTGGATTAGACTTGGTCCGTCCATAACAAAATTATATTGGATTGGGTTGGATTAAGTCAATATCTGATCCATTGATATAAGATAAGAATATATGTGTCAATGGGCCGGGTTTGGATTGAAACCAATCTAAATCAAAATGAATTTGAACAAATTGAATGGTCCAGACATTAAATTGGACCGGTCCAAAACATTCATTGGATTGGACCTGGCCCATTTATGATGGACTCACATTGGACTGGATCGGATTGGACCAAATCCAGTTCAATTGACACCCCGGTTGGAGGCTACATCTCGCATGAGCGATCTAAAGGAGACAAACACTAGGAGTGGGAACCTAAGCCGGATAAACCAGCCGATAGTGATAGTCATAGTCGTCATCTCGAGGGGTAGACCTTAGAAGCCTCAACTAGCAAAAGTAAGAAATGAGGTGTTCTTGCCCAAGTTTCAGTTCTAGAATGGTTGGCCACATTAGTTGATAGGTAATTAGAGTACTTTGATACATTCATTATAGCCTTAACCTACCAGGTAAGTCTAATTAGCTTTACCCTAAGTGGCCCTAACAATAATTCCATAATAGATGGTTATTTTTTACAAGTGTCTTTTGCATCCCTAGGTCCGGTTTGGACCTCCATGGGACTTTTAGGTTTTCTCATTTCACCCCATTAACCAATATAGTTAGTATAATCTGATTGATAAATATGTGATTTATATGATATTTTAAGTTGGATGACTATAGCACTCTAGCTATTTTATTTTGGTTTGTGATGGAGGGAGGAAACTATACGCTCTTCTATAAGGACTTCACCTCGCAGTTGGTTAAGTAGGCAGTAGACTTATTACCTTGGCTCAGTTTGGAAGGAGTATAAAGAATGTAAAACCTTGTATTTATTTTATAATATAGATAGTGATGAATTAATGATGGGGTATTTTTATGGCAAGCACAGCGAATGTGCATTTCTCTTATTTTGAAGATCTAGCAATAAAATAAATCCAACTAATAGATGACCGACAAATCTGAAGTGGTAGAAAGAGAGAGAGAGAGGGGAATGACCATTGATCACAACTGCTCTAGTTTTGTTTTTGAATGGGAAAGATGGTGAATAATAACTCCCTGAAAGTCTTGTTTGAGAGTTGACACATGCAACATATTTGCTCATTAATGGGATAAGTGGTGTACTGGGGTTTTGTTGGGACAATTGTTGGGAGTAGGACTCAAATTAAGAAACCAACCTTTTAGGGAAGGACTCATCTTTGGTAGTTTGCCTTCATTCAAAGCTTCTGTCGGGTAGTGACACTCAACCCCCTAAGCTTTGCTTTGAGACAAGACCACCCCCCTTGAACTTATGGAATATTCCATTAGCATTTTTTAGAACCCCGAACTTATGTTTTTGCCCTTTCACCAACTTAACTTTACTAAAATCCTAACTTTCATGTGTTTCTCTCAACATTCTTTCCTATAAAGTTAACGTATCTTGAGAATGATTACTTATTCATTTTGATATTTGTTGCTATGAATGCATAGAATCTCAAATAGACAATTTATTAGTTTTACTTTCATTGCCAATCCTTGTAATAGGTCAGGGATAGGGGCAAAGTGTTTGAATCTAGAAGCTGGAGGGGTCTTTATCCTAAGAAGGCCCTATTTAATTTTACTTCTTTTAAGTACTTATTTCAATAAGTGTTTAAGCTTAAAAGAAGTGCTGGGACCACACATTAAATGGAAAGTAAACACTTATTCTTGTTTGGAAAATAAGTCAAGAATAAGTGCTTATTTTAAAAAGAAGAACTAAAAAAAAAGTAACTTGGAAGTAGTTTTTTTAAGCACTTGTTCTCCATTCATATCCAACAAGTGCTTATTCGAAATTGGTGGGACGGTTCAGTGCCTGAATATTATTTTTTATAATATTCAAAATGCCCCCACGATGGAGAAAACCCTTCTCCTTCTCCATTCGCACAAACCTAGACAAGCGGCATTGACACCTAGCTTCAGCACAACCGACGACCACCAAAATGGCAAAAAATTGATCAATGATCAATTCATTTTTCACTTTCAATAATTCTTCTTGGTTCTAGACTCGATTATTTCTGGTTTTTGGAGGGATTTAATGCTTGGAATGTTGTTGGCAGTTTTTTCTCAAATTTGGTTTTAAGGACCAAGAACTCACCATAGAGTTGCCCATGACCAAAGGTAAGGCATGCCAATCGTATAACTTCAACCATTTTTGGTATATTATTATTCATCATATTTGGTATATTATTAATATTACATTATTATTGTTGTTGTTGCTGTTGTTATTATTATTATTGTTGTTGTTGTTGTTCTTATTATTAACTTTTTCTATTAATGCCACGTGTGAGTCCACGTGGCACTCAATGTGTGTTACACATGGATTCTCATGTGTCTCAACGTGGTGATGTAGCAAGTTTATTTCAAATATATAATATAATATGTGAAAACCATTGTTTATATGTGTATGTGAAATAAGGACTAAAAATGTCATTTATGCTAAAATAATTACTTGTTGGGAAAGTGGTTCACCAAACATCCCCACCCTAATAAGTAATTAAAATAATTATAAGTGGTTTGGTTTTGGCAAATGGGCCACCAAACAACATTAAATACTTGTTCAATTAAATACTTAGAATAAGCACTTGTTGTACAAGTACTTATTTCTCAAACCACTTAATCACCAAACATAGCCTAAATTGTAAATATCATAGTTTGTGGTCTCATGAATAAACATATCATATTTAACATATGAGAGCACATGAATATTTTTTTAACAATGTTACAACTACAAGGCCATAAGTTAATAATTTTTTATTTTATCAAACTTGTATCTTAAGTTTTCAAATTGGTAAATCTTTTAATATTAAAATAATTATAAACAATAAATTATTCAAAAATATTAAGTTTTTAACATAAAATTTTGATGGATTTATGGAAATGATAGATCATCCATAGATCCACGTTATAATTATTCTCCATCATCACATTATGTTAAAAATATAATTTCTCTTTTTATGTAATTTTATTTATTTTCCAAATTTTCATTAAAATAATCTTATAGCTAATTATAACTTCTAAGGGAGAAGATTCCAATTATCTTATCCAACAATCCATGATGCATTGATATATATAACTTTTAAGTGAATATGTAATTAATAATTTTTTGTTATTAAAATAATTATTTTTATATTTTTATTCAAAAAATACAAAAAATCAAAAAATAATTTTAACTTTTAATGGGTCTATGGATATGATATATTATCTATAGATACACAATAAAATCACTTTTTATTATTAGACCATTCCAAAAATAAAATTTTTATTGTTTTATATTTTCTCGAAGACCATACCATACATGTATTTACTTATAGCACCAAAATACATTGGATTTTCAACACAAAAAAGAAAAGAATATATCAATGTATATTCAATTGTTCAAGTAAAAAAAGCCACAAAAGAATATAAATAATATGAAGAAATTGAAAAATTGAAAAAACCATAAATATTTTGCATCTTTTGCCCGAGGCATGGCATGTTTAGGTTTAAAATTGTTGAATTTGATCAATTTTTTTTTTCTTTATTTCTTTCCTTTTTTTTTTGCAAATATAATGATCTAGAGTGAATTTGAAACATTGGGAGTGAAAGAAAGAGGGTCAGAAACCTTCTTTAGTTGTTTTCTGTGCTCCTATTTTTCTTGTACCTATCAATTGATACAACCCGATACAAACAACCTATACAACATATTGATACGCATCTAATATGTATTGGATGATAATGTGGGTTGTACATATGCGGAATTTCAACAGAGAAGTACGGATAGGTCCAATGCAGATTTTTGATTTCCACTGTAAAGCTATAAACATTTAAAATATCAAAAATTCCCACTCTACATAGCAATGTCCACCATGAATTAACATCAATTCCAAGCTGGCACCCACCTCAAGTATACTTTGAGCCTAAAACTTTTGACCCTGGGCTGAACCGTAATTCTCCCAAATTTTAAACCTTGGTGGCAGGCAGTATTGAACAAGCGTGGCCTCAACGCCAGGTATAGTAGGACCTAATTGGATTGGATTGAAACCCTAACCAATGGCCAGAAAATGACTCAACAGTATTACCGCTTACGTACTGAGTTTGACTCTTTTGTATTCTTTAAATTAAGAAATAAGATGGCTAAAATACACACACAACTTTTGAGAGGAAGAAAACAGCAATTCTCATGGCACAACGCACAACTTCCATCATCCTTCACGAAGGTCCCTTTCTAGACAAAGAGTGTTTAGAAAGTGAGCGAGTCCAAGTAAATTATGTGTTTACTTTAGTGCCCTCATTCAGGGCCTTTATCCAATTCTCTCATCATCCCTAAGTATATTTAGGCTTACGTGATAATGATGCTTACCCCTTTGGTCATGGATGGGATTTGTCAAACCTTACTTAAATCTTACCAAAAAGTGTCTGGATCTGTTACTCGTACAGTATGTCCTGGCTGTATATTTGGAATATTTATTGTACTGAAGATATTCTAAATACACGAGAAAGATATAATTATAAGGTTGATGTGAAAAAGTGTAATTCCCAGGGTAGGGAAACCTTTACAAATTACCTTTTCCTTCAAACCAAACTAACCTTAGTGTCATGTCCAACTTGTACTTGTACCATTACTCAATCTTTTACTGCCTTGGTGCCAATAATTTCTTTTGTTTTTACGTTCAATTACTCACATCCATCTCATCATACTTCTCAAATCTGGATTTATCCAAATAGCGTACGTACCCATACAAATAATTTTCTACATCTATTTTCCTCTTTCCTACCGACTCTTCCTAGCTTTTGCAACCCATAATGATTCAGCCAGTTGGACTATTAATTATTCAACTTTTTCTTATCCGCATAAGAAAACGGGAGTTCATTTTACTCCAAAATGTACCATCCAGAATCTGATTGATTTTGGAAATGAGTCCATGTGAACACAAGGCAAACAACACGAGGAAGAGTGGAAGAGTAATTAATATTACCAATCATATAGAACAGATGTTTGTATTAATTTGTTTATGGGTTCAATTATATGAATGATTACACGTAAATCAGCAATTGAGCTGAACTACTTCTTCTTTCCTTTTTATTTTGTTGCGTTGGTGATAACTAAGTAATAATAATTACTATGCTCAGCTCAGTTCATAATATTCCTTCTTTTAGGCCCGTGTTCTTCCATTATTCCCATAATGATTCAGCTCAGATCTAATTTTAATGCTGGTTAGGAAAACGGCCATGAAAAAAAGGGTTATCCGAATTCCGAATGAATTGAATAACTAGACATGGAATGGAAGAAAAAGGTTTAAATCAAACCGAAGAAGCAGCAATTAACCTCATGTCCAGAAATAGTAGAACAGGTCAAATCATTATCCAAGAAAAACACAAGAAAGGTAATAATAGGGTTTAATAATAATCCCAAGTTGAGCTCATAGAGTAGAGAGACAAGGTGAGAAAAGGTTTGGAAACAGGGCCCACAATCCTCTTCCGACCTTGTGTGCCAATTGCCTTTTGCCTTGTACAAGAATCCACCTCAAGCGTTAATTTTAGTTTCTCTTTCCTTCTTCGATCAACTCTTCTCTGAAAATGATCACTCTCTTCTGTTTCTTATTCAATGAAACCAAAATTAAATAAAAAGAATTTCCTCCTTTTTCGTTGTTAATTTCCCCAAGATTTTCTTATACAGCTAGCTCTCCATGGTCAGCTTTTCTCCATGTCAGGTTCCAGCCATTTGCATCGGACCCATCTCCCCTTTTGACCCATTTCTTCTCCATACCTTCTCAAATATAGGGTTTTTATGGGGTTTATGAACCCTTGGATTTAACAGGTGCACAACAGCTTCACCCGATCCCTTCCAATTCCATTACGTTTATGCGGATACTACTTTCTGGCTTTTCACAATTACGCTCCCTTTTCCTTCTATTGTTACGAAATTTGGAATCAAGGCATTCTAGGGTTTCTTGCTCTTTGATAAGTCTCGGTGCTAACTGGGTGCACTGCCCGTCGCTTGATCTCCTTCAATTAGATCAAGCCGAGAATCTGCTTTCCGGGATTTTTGAATTAGGTTCTATTTTGTTTGAATTTCATGGCTTATGCGACGATTCCCGGTACCGGTTCGGGATCAGTATCAAGTTCGAATTCCGGGTTTCAGTTTTTGAATTCCCCTTTTGGAGATACCACCTATACCAAGGTCTTTGTTGGCGGATTGGCATGGGAGACGCAAAGCGAGACCATGCGTCGTTACTTCGAGCAGTTCGGAGAGATTCTCGAAGCAGTCGTGATCACTGACAAGAATACAGGCAGATCGAAAGGCTACGGTTTTGTGAGTATTTCTTGTTTTGCTTCGCTAATCTCCTGCAAATTGATATCACAAAAAGATAAAGATGCATAAACTTCCAAAGGGGCAGATATGATCAAATGTAAACATTATTTTCTTGGCCTTAGGTAACTAGAAGTTCGGTGGGAAAAGGATTTGTAAGTATAGTTCTGATACTTAACCAAGAAGTTAAATAAATTTCGTATTTAAAAATAAGGGCGTGAACTTATTTCTGATTAAGGTCACCAGGCCTTAATCGAGTAATGACTTTTCCAAATGAAACCAAAAAGAAATATTTCTCCATTTCACTGTAATTTCTGACATTGGCGAAGAGCTGAATGATCCTATATTTTGGTGCTATTCTTTTATATTGACCTAAGAGATGACTTTTGTTTTTCTTTGGGTTGTTTTGTATGGAGGATTTAGGTAACTTTCCGTGATCCAGAATCTGCAAGGAGGGCCTGTGCTGATCCAAGCCCAGTTATTGATGGTAGGAGGGCAAATTGTAATTTGGCTTCACTTGGGCGGCCTAGGCCATTTTTGCCTTACGGTATGAGTCTATGACTATCTTACTTTGTTCCTTTTGTTTATTTGAACATACATTTGATATGTAGTGATTGCATTATTTCTCCTTTCCTCAATTTTATTTTCACAAAATTCCTTGATCATCCACATAAAGTCATCTTCTAAGAAATGCCAACACTGCTTTATAAAATTAAAATTAAACCTATCTGGCCCCGGAACTTTATCTCCATTAATCCTCTTCAAGGTCTCCTTAAGTTCACCCACTTCAACCTCCCTCTCTAGCCACTCAACTGCTCTCACTCAGTTTTATTTTTTTTCAACATCTCCTGAAGACATCCAATACCATTGCCTCCCTGAATAAAGCCTCTTGTAAAAGTTCCCCACTATCCTTTGAAAGTTTTTTTTCCTTTATGCTAATCTTAGACCCTGCAGCAAAGCCATCAGTTCAGCTTTCAAAGAGTTTCTCATTCCAATAGGCCCTAAATACAATGCTAGTATCCTGCTTTGAGAGTCCCTAAATACACCTCCTATTCTTGCCATACCCAAATTTCCAAAAGAGTTTCCATCAAAAGTTCAGTTTTACTCTGTTGCCTTTTGGAGGTTTCACTACTAATAGATGGGAGAGAGTTTCACTACTATCCTTGCATAAAAAAGCACATATGAGGAGAAAGGCAAAAGTTAGGCCTTCTTCTATGCAATGTATCACAAGTATTAATCTTTCCAAGGAAAATTTCCTAGTAGAAAGCTTGAATCTTAGGTGGAATAGGCTTGCTCCAAATCTCTTTCACTGGGAAGTCAAATCCTGAAGAAATAGGCAGGGTAAAGTTTCTGAAAAAAGAGAAACAAGTGAAAAGACCTTCAGGAGAGGCTAACCAAGTCCTAGTGTCCTCCATGTTTTGATCCAAGATTACTTCCAAAAGACAAATCAAGTGAATAATTTACCCCTTGGGGAGGTGGTGTTCCCAATCTAAAAACAGTTTTACCTTTATGGTTCGTTTGGTTTCCGAGAAAGGATGAGATGAGAAATGATGGGATGAGAAAGATTGGGATGGGAACTGGGAAGGAATATATTTTTTTTCTCAGTTTTGCATCCCATATTTGTTTCCCGAGAAACGATATGCTCAAGATTCATTTTCCTGCGTTTGTTTTCTGAGAAAATTTACCAATTTTGCATCATGATGTTTTCAATTGCTTGGCATTGTTCACACCAACACATGCAATAACATGATATGTTTGCTGACATGGACATGTGTTTTGCCATGTGTCATACAAGTAATATGGTACGTATTCCATCCATTGCCACGTGACAATCAAATTTGACAAAACAGTTCTTGGGAAATGGGTTAAACAATCTTCTCTTCATTTCAGACAATATAATATAATCATGGCTACTAGGCTGGCCACGAGGCAACTAATTATCAAAATGAATCTTACAAACAACATCGTTTCAACCTAATATATTAGAACTGAACTCATCAAGATAAAGGAAGACGGCCCAAGACATCCTGTCATGTATCACAAAAAAAAAAACCCTAGGAAAATGGCCGAACATGCAACATTCACAAGAAATTGCAAGTTATCCTGTTATTTATCACGTAAATGGCCATAGATAGATTAATATTTATCAAAAACAAAATGGAGATAAATAGAATAATATTTATCAAAAACAAAATGGAGATAAATAGAATAATATTTATCAAAAACAACCATCACAAAATATCTATAGAACCATCACCAAACGGCATATGATACACTGTTATTTATCAGAAACAATCATCCCAGAAATTGGGCCATGTCTACCCTGTTATTTATCAACAACAATCATCCCAAAATGGTCTGTAGATGCCCTTCTATTAATCACAGAAATCATCACAAAAGTTGTCCTTAAACACACTAATATTCAGAGTAAACGATCATAACCAATAATCTGTCGAAGACAAGCTGTTATTCATAAAAAAAAAGCAAAAAAAAAACACAAAGCAATGGCCATGTATACCCTGTTATCCATCACATACAAACTTCATACAAAAAGGCTGAAGATACTATCTATTTATCATAAACAATGTTCAAAAAATAGACCACATATACACGTCATTTGTCACAAAAAATTGGTCCTATTTATCATGAAAATTATTCCTATTACCCATTGCAAAAAATGGCCAAATAAAACAAAATAATAACATACAATAAATCCCAAAAAAATGATATAGATAAATTGATCTTACAATTGAATCGCATGCCTTTGGAAAAATTGAACAAAATCAAACAAATATCTTAACCTTACGGTAGATCTATAGATTAAACGCACATTCATCGTTTTCTATAAGTAGGATCTCTTACTTTGGTGCAATTTAGCAACAATATTTGAACCCTACAAGTAAAAAATCGCAGAAAATTGTTAGTTCTAAAAACTTACAGAAAAAGAGACCCTCATTTTGTCTTTCCCCAAATTAGTGTTCCTTGTGTAAGGCCGAAAATGAGAACTGTGTCCGTTTGCTGATCTCCCATTCCTTTGCTATAGCTATATGGAGGTGGAGCCTTTGTCTATTTGGAGGTAGGTGGTCTCTGCCTTCTGATTTAAGCTTGTTATTCAACCCATCTRTCTTTGTTTRGCACACTAGAAGAKGTAAGGTCATGTGGAAATGTGTCAGGGCAGCCACTCTGTGGACTCTTTGGGAGGAAAGGAATGCAAGAATTTT